CTCCAGTTAGCCCCATGTCGCTTTTAAAGAGGAATGCTTTGTACAAATGAAAGGGCACGCTTTTTCAAAAGAAAATGTTCACATCTGTTACCCACAGTGAGTTATGGGACTTAGGGTTGGTTTTTGTACGATACCTCCACAAATGTTATTGTAATGCTTTTCTTTTCCAGGAAAAAAAATACAGTACATTTGGCAATGGATACCCTAGACTCTTGTTTCCATTATAATAAAATGATACGCTTACATAATATGCGTGTGCTTTTTAAAATATGTACAATATATTCTTTATATTAATGGGATTACAATACATCTTCAAAAATAATCACGCGACCCTCTTCTCAGTAATCCTTTTGGATAAGTCAAAAGGGCCATAACAGAGTCTGTGAAATTGTTTCCAGCTCTACATCCTAATACCAAACAGCTGCAGAAAAAAACTGAAGGGAGAAAATATACTGTACTGTGTCTAATTGATAAATTGTACCGCATCAAAGAGTTTCTGCCCCAAACACAAAGAGCATCTTTAAGGCATCTGCAAAAGGAAGTCGGCGATCGAATGTGCACTGCAACAGCAGCAAACCAAACGCACCAGTGGTGGATGGGTGGGTGGTGGGTAAAAACGGGGAAGTAGCTTTAAGTGGGGGGTGGGGAGCAAGCAAGATGATGGAAAGAGCTCGGATATGGTCTCGGCGCAAGGAAGGGTAGGGAGGGAGGGATTGTGCGTGTGTGCGGTGGGGGTTGTGGAGTAACCTCCCCTGTTTGCTCACAATGGGGGGCGGCAGTGCCTGCAATCATGTTAGCGTCTGCTTGCTCCCAGCATTCTAATTATCGGCTTCTCAATTGAAACCTCCACGAACCGCCTAGGTTGTCATTAAATATTACAAATCCATGGAACTGCAATTTAAAAACAACACTTGAACACTTTCACTTTTGACTAGGTCACGTTAGCTTTGGCTTTTAATGGCATCTCTCCAGTACAATGTAAGGACTGTTAAACTATTCTGGTGCATCATTGAAATGAAACGTACTCGCTGCTGTCACAGTTGTTTCCGATGCGGGACATCAAGAACGTGACTTATGATATGTCACACAAACATTTTTACCCATCATGGATGGTTCATTTCTTAATATGCGTGTCAAACATTGTGTGTTTTAGTTATGTACTCGTGCAGGAAAGTAAGATATGACTGTCTTGAAAGAAAAACCTAAACTTGTAATAGGCGATGTTTCGAGTAATGGTCCTTGTTTATACAAATTAGATAGAGTATAACCTTACCCTAAATTTCACCTATGCGTTTTTTGATTAGTTATTCATGGCAATGTGACTGTATTAACGGTATGTTGAGTTTTTTTTTCTCATACACTACTCCCACTGCAGTAGCAACATTTTTTGTCTTGTACGTAAAAAAAGAGTTAACTTAATGTCGTGGAATAATGAATCTGTTTTCCATTATGCATATTTTCTGTCTTAACAAATGGCATTTACAATACGCTATAATTTAGATTTAAATTCGTCTTACATGCAACCTATTCTCTCTCAGTGGATGTGCTACAATAGCAGTTGGGGCATGGCTTTCCTGGGGAAAATTGGCATCTTTATTTCTTGCTACCAGCAGCCAAATTCTATATAATTCATAAACAGTATTTTCTATGAGCTATGTATTATAAACGGTATACACGGCAAGTGACTATATATGGAAGTACTTGTACTGCACACGATATACTGTAGTTTATACACACTAACGTATTTGTCTGTAGGCTGCCAGTGGGTATAAATCGAACGCATGTGTGTGCCAACATGCCCCTCTTACACGAGTGCGGGAATTGCTGTGTTCTGCAACAAAAGCACCGCGGGGGAAATGGAAACATAGCAAAATAAATCTGGGTTTTAATGGTGGAGGAATCCAAAGTAATTTAAATTGTAATTTGAATGCCCCAAAACACGCGGTTGTATGTACAAAAGAACGAAATGCCAGGGTGAAAAGACTGAAAACGATCCTAACTTAACGTGGTTATACTGATTGAGAGTTTGACTAAGCAAGTATATTCCACAAGGTAAGGTAAATGTTTAAAACTTTTAGGCACATCAAACATGCCTCGTAGCATGTGAAAAATGCAATTATATTAATCGAAAGAACCATTAGCAAAATGAATAAAACACTTAAAAGGACCCCCGTGGTATAAATAGGGGGTGTTCTTACCGAAAACATTTGGTCAACCAGCGGAATGCGTTAACACGCTTACTCTGCGTGCTAGAATACTGCTGGCTTACAAAGCATAGAAAGCTGATAATGCTATCAACTAATAACATTTATTTTCATGGGATGAAATGGAATGGAATGTCAACGGATGTATTACTCATAACACTGAAAAGGAGCTTCATATTTTCATGAAAACACGCAAAGTATATGCAGTACCCAGGTTTAAATTCACATTTGTACAGTATTCGAAAAAGTACTCTGAGGATAAAAGTTATTTCGGTCCTTCGTAAGCATCTATACTCTACGAACAGATGAAAAACGTAACATCTCGGGAACGGCAAGACAAATAAGTCATTTATATTTTGTTGATGCACTCAGGTGCACAGTTAATGCGTTTTAGTCTAAATAAATTACGCGAAACGGACTCTATCTAATTACAGTTATAACACATTAATCATGGCACACGATGCCAATAATGACCCTTAAAAGAAGAGAACCCCATTTTTGTAAAATCGAAAATTGTGCGGTGGATACTCCGTTGGCAGTGGTGCAGACACAAATAACGCAAAATCAACAAATTCGTCAATAGCATTGCCCCTAAAGAGGAAACTTACATAATTGGCGACCTTTTGGGTAATGTTGCGCTAGAGCGTTAAGTTACTTATTGGGCATAAACACAGACAGGGTAACTTTAACTCAAATAAGTCACCGTACTTTTTTGTTATTGTAAAACCCACTTGCTCACTCACACCGTCAAACCAGTTTCACTCCCTTTTCACTAAACCCCCCCAAAACGTTCAAGTGAGCAGCAGGTGATGCGTGTGCGTTGTTGTTGCCGCAACCACACAGTAGTAAACGGAGTCTCAGAGCAATCGGCAAGAGCCACAAACACAGGAACACAAGACGTTGAGGGCGGCGGGGGGGGTGGAATGAAGCAAAAGCAAGGGCGTGCCTTGCCCGCGAGTATTCGCGCATGTGATGCATTTAACACGCGCTCGCTGCGTGTCAACAGAGCTCGGCGGCGAACATCAAAGGCGCCGGCCCGGCAGCCAATGGGCTCGCTCCTCTGCCGCTCGGCCCAAGCTCATTGGCCCTCATCCGCCTCGGTCCTTGTGCTCTTTGCTCTGCGGGGGGGGGGGTTTGGGGGAAGGGGAGATCGGAGAGTTTGGTGGTGGTGGTTGGGGTGGTGGTGGGGGGTGGTGGGGGGTGGTGGGGGGGGGTGGTGGGTGGGGTGGTGGTGGGGGGTGGTGGTGTGGGTGGGTGGGGTGGTGGTGGGTGGTGTGGTGGGTGGTGTGGTGGGTGGTGTGGTGGGTGGTGGTGGTGGTGGGTGGGTTAGGGGGTGGTGGGTGGTGGGATGTGGTGGGTGGGTTAGGGTGGGGGGTGGTGGTGGGGGGTGGTGTGGGGGGTGGTGGGTGGTGTGGGGGGTGGTGGTGGGGGGTGGTGTGGGGGGTGGTGGTGGTGGGGGGTGGTGGTGGGGGGTGGTGGTGGGGGGTGGTGGTGGGGGGTGGTGTGGGGGGTGGTGGTGGTGGGGGGTGGTGGTGGTGGGTGGTGGTGGGGGGTGGTGGTGGGGGGTGGTGATGGTGGGTGGTGGTGGGGGGTTAGGGGGTGTGGTGGTGGTGGTGGTGGTGGTGGGTGGTGGTGGGGGGTTAGGGGGTGGTGGGGGGAAGAGTAGGAGTTTTATGGGTGGCTTTTGCAGTAAATTAAAAACGTTAACGTTAATTTAAACACCAAACGCATGCAGATATGTACGGTGGTGTAATGTCAAGTTGCGTTGTTTTGGTTTGATGAAGACGTGCGTGGGAGTCTGGTGGGGGGGTAATTGAATTGACGATAGATGAGGGGGGGGCTGTTATTATTGGTAGATATTGCAGTATATAAAGAAAAACGTGCATTTAAAAGAAAACAAAAAAAACATATTAGCAGTTCAGTGTCGGATAAGGCGTTTCAATGTAGTCGTTGCTGAAATGTTTGATAAAAATTTTGGGCGGATATGACACGCGGTGTTGTTTCGTTTTAAGTTTTTTTTTGTTATAGTTAAGAGAACAAAAACAAGACGTGGAATGGTTAAACATGTGCCGCGTTTGCGGACAACCCCCCCCCCCCCCATGCTTTCAGTCACAGACGACAGTGTGTTTAAACATAAATGCTAGGGCAATGTATCTTTGTAGGCGATACAAAGAAGCAATGAGCACTTTTTTTCTGCTCTCCCCTCCGTTTAACTCTTTAACCGATGTCCGATATAGACTGTAGCAGCGAGCTTAAAATTGCGACTTAAAATTGACAACGGAGAGACACACACGAGCAGCAACAACAACAACAAAAACAAAAACATCGCGTTACGGAACAATCTTCGTCTATAATAATAAAAACCCCGAGCCCGTAATATTTAAACAAAACCACCCGATTTAAAACCCAAGCTTTTCAATACAAACCACGGACACACGCGTGTCGCCTGCAAGGGCTTCACGCTTAACATTCAACGCACAAAAGCATCCACTGGTTGTCGTAACAAGAAGCCTCCGCTATACTTTATATCCTTTATGCATATCGGAGCTTTAACGATTACGCCTGTGTTCCAGCGGAATAGTTGCTGTGTCATTTGATTAGGGTTATTTCCTCCCCCACCACCCAACCCACCACCACCTCTCTCCTGGAAGCAGCTCTTTCTCTCTCTGGCTTCTCCCTCCTCCTCCTCCTCTCTCGCTTCTTTCTCTCTCTCGCTCTCCCTCCCCCCACCACCACCATCACCACCACCACCACCACGACCACAACCACGACGACTCCCCCTCGCCTTGGGGGGAAGCTCGTGTGAAAAAAGAGACTCGCAACACAAGCGCCCTCGAATGGAGCGGAGGCGGGTGGCGAGGATTTGGGGGGGTGGTGGTGGTGTGGGTTGTGGGGGTTCTAGGCCAGCCCTGACTGATGGGAAAACAGTTTAGCTTCGCACAGAACGTGGCCCGTGTAATGCATTATTAGCGGATACAATTATCACTGAGAGGGAATGCCCCCTTTAGTGCTTGTGTGTGTGTGCTTGTGTGTGCGTGTGTGCGGATAACGCTGTTGCTCAGACCGACGCGTCCGTGGATGTAAAATGAACTCACATCAGCAACTTTTGACCGTCTGACGTGCCGCGGGTGTCAACATTCCGACCTATTTTACTTCGCCGCTGTCTTTTTTACAAAGAAAAAAAAACGCGTGTGCGTCTGCGTGTGCCTCTCTGTGTGTGTGTGTATGTATATACCTTAAAACCTTTAAAACAACAGTTATTGGCTTCAAGCGCAACACACGCGCACACGCCGATTTTAGTGGCTTACCACCACCACCAGCACTACTCTTTCGCTCTCTCCCTCTCGCGTTTTTTTTCTTTCTCTCCCCCCCCCCCCTTCTCTTTTTCTCTCGATGTCGCCTTTTGATGTGGCATTGCTCTTGCGAAGACAGAAGATGAACAAGGTAACGGTTGAACAATAGATGCTTTCACTCCACGGCCATCGAGAGTGGCACGGAGCCAGACCGACATTTACAACAAGAAGTTTGTGTTCAACGAGACGGAGAAAAAGCGACGATTTGAACCGTGTTTGACAGGACTTGTTTAGTAGGAGGAGGGGGAAGGGTGGTGAAGATGGTCATCTTAGTTTATCACCGCCGAGTTTTCTTGGGATTGCAACCGGCGGTGTTCTTATTTGATAATCCTCATCGCGTGCTGGATGGATTAGCCGCCGCGCTTTTAAACGGAGGGTGGTGATACTTTTAGATATTTTTTTGTGTTATCTCCCACCTCCTCCCCCCCCTTCTCTCTCTTCTCTCTCTCTCCTCTCTCTCTCTCTCCTCCGTTCGTGTTTGTTTGTTTGGGGCGGCCGGAACCCGGCGTGGGAGAGACACCGCTGCGTCTGGTTATGTTTCTCCACACCGACTACTTCCACTGCGACTACTACGAACGCCGCCGCCACCGCCGCCGTGTCGCGTCCTGGACGCGCTGCATCTGCAGCCTCTCTGCTGCTGCTGCTCCTGTTTCTTCTTCTTCTCCTCCTGCTGCTGCTGCCGCTGCTTCATCTTCTCTTCCTCCTGCTGCTGCTTCATCTCCTGCTCCTGCTGCTTCTCCTGCTTCTTCTCCTCCTCCTCCTGCTTCTTCCACGTCCTGCAAGCGGCGACTGAAATCGTTTGTCGTAGCCGGGGGGGAACGACAACAACAACTGCTGCAACTGCAACAACAACTACTGCTGCTGCTGCTACTGCTGCTGCAACAACAACTACTGCTGCTACTGCTGCTGTTGTTGTGAATGTGAGGACCCATGGAGTTAAAGCGCACGGCGGCTGCGGCTGCGGTGATGATGGTGATGATGGTGGTGATGGTGAAGCAGCAGCAGCAGCAACAAACTTGTTAACGCGTTTAACGGTGACATGCTACGCGCTTGCAGGGGCGCCGCAAGTGCAACGCGCCTCGATCGCACTTGCTAAAGGCGCTGTTCGAATCGTTTTTACTCTCTCTCTCTCTCTGTTGTGTGTGTGTCTATCTCTCTGTCTGTGAGTGTCAAAATTTTTTTTTACCGGATCTAATTTGTCAGCATTTGGGTGGATTTACGTGTGTGCGCTGGGGGGGGGGGGGGGGAGCCGCTTGCTCAAGCTGTATTATTCAGCTTTTGACGTGCGACTGACTAATCGACATCATCAGCCCTTCATGGTGCCAGGGCTGCGACTGCGTTGGATACCAGCATGTCCGTGGTGAGCGGTGCTGCATTAGGGGAACCGAACCCGGTCGATGCTGCGTACGATAGTGGCGACGACTGGGAAATTGGCGTCGGAGATCTGATCATTGACCTGGACGCCGATCTCGAGAAAGACCGACAGAAATTGGAACTTGGCGGAGCAGGAACCCTGGTGGGCAGTGCCACCGCAGCCGCCGCTGGTGGCAATCGGAAAGAAGCAGCAACAGCATCAGCATCATCATCAGCAGCGGCGGCGGAGTGTGTAGCCACTACCGACTGTTCTGGGAATATTAATCCCGACATAGCAGCTGGGACATCTCTGACGGAGAGCATGAAGCTCGCTGCTGCTGCTACTGCTGCTGCAGTCATGCAGCCAACCCAGACGAGCCCCGAAAAGGGCGGCAAATCCAAAGTGAAGAGAAGCAAAAACTCCAAAAACGGGAGGAGGTCGCCCTCCTCGTCGTCCTCGTCGTCGTCTGCGGTGGCGGTGGCCACGACATTCGGCGGTGCCAAGAAGGTGGTGGTGGTGGTGGACGGGCAGTCGGTGCGATCCGGAGATGCGAGTGCATCCTCTCTCACTACCACCACCACCCACGACGACGACGACCAACAACACCATAAACACTTCATCCTCCAGCAACAGCAGCAGCAGCAGCAGGAGTAGCAAGGAGGAGAAGCCGACCCGAGCGGGTCGTGGAGGCTCCAAGAAGGCGGCGGCGGCAGCGGCGAGGAAAGAGAAGGAGGATGTGCTGCAGTGCGTGTCTGGAGGAGGGGCGCTAATCGGCGGCGGTGGTGGTGGTGGTGGTGGCAGCCCTCAGTTTCGGCTGGGATCAAAGGGAGGTCCTTGCCACAGCGACAGTCTCCCGGGCAACAGTGTCCTGAGCAAGGAGGTGTCATGCCGTCTCTCCGACTTGAGCAAGGCGACGAATCTCGACTCGGGCCTGCTGGGCAACTGCATCATCGTGAAGCAAGAAGACGACGCGGATAATGAAGACGTGCCCCAGCCCGCAGCCAAGAAAGTCAAGAGTGAAAAGGTGAAAGTTTTGTTTTTACTTGTGTTCCCTCCCCTCTCTCTCCCCAAGTTGTTTTTAGACACTGCTCTCGTTTGCTGTTATCCTTTTGGCCGTGATTGTGGGGTTTTTTTTTGGGCCCCCTCGGATGTCACAATTCAATGACAGTACCTGGGTGCCTCTGCACCAGCTGCCACTTTTTTGTGTGTGGATTTTGTTGTTGTGCAATCGATGAAAAGCAATTGTGGGATGAGTTTGTGTAGTGGAGGTGGTCATCCAATGTGTGTAACGCGATTTACCTGCGTTCCTTTCAAGTACAGTACTTATAGACTGTATAGGATTTTAAAAGTTACAGAAAAGTGCTTTTCTCATTTGCAATCGAGTACTTCAGAGTGGCAGTTTCAGCAATTGTAAAGTGTTAATTATAAAAAAAATGTTGAGATATTGATAAGCGAGCTGTAACATACTCTTAATTTAACCCACGTTGTGTGAGGACAACATGCCATTGTTGCATCGTACCGTATAACGTTTGCCTTGATGTGCAGTGATTGAGCATTGAACGTTATACAAAGTGATGCTATGTGTGTACGTAATGGAACGTGCCTGTAACAGAGTGCCTTACATGATTATATTCACATGAAAGTTGTGTAATAGCTGGAGGAGCCCCATTTTAGGAAACCAAGAACCTGTGGTGCTTACAGTGACTTTCTCTTCCAGCTGATTTATGGTCTACAGTACTTCAGGATTGAGGACGTGTATCAGCTTTATTAAGTTAATTGTAAAAATGGCACTGGTTAACAAGCTTGATTTTAAAAGGAGAAATTAACTGTGTTATAAACGTCCTCTGTCGATGGACAGGGCCATTGTTAACGTATTAATAGCTTTTAAGAGTCGTGAATACATTTTAATCTTTGACACATTTACCAAAATAGGACTTTTTGTTTTGTAATACGAGACACTTCAGTAAGATATCGCCAAGATACAGTACAGTACTTGAACCAGATTTCTGAAACTAGTACTTTAAATTAGAAAATATACTTTGCATTATAATATAGTGGTGTTGGTTGTGGAAATGCCAGGTAATCTCTGGGGTTTGTTTAGGCATACTGCTGTGTCTTGATAAAGGTGACATCAATTTAAACGTTGACCAGATAATAACTTTTTGTGGTTCAAAATCATGTTCATGGTATTTTAACAAAGTTGTACTATTTAAATGCGGCTGGTAATTGGAATTATGTTGAATAATTAACTCTTTTGAGAAAGTTTCCAAAGCAATTGCAAGTTTATTTGGTTAATGTTTGTGTAATGCAGTACCAACATGGACTTGGACTTTTGTACATGTGTTCAGTCAAACAATACTATAGTCAGCTAGATGTTTAGAAAATGCTGAGGTCAGCAGCTTCAGTTCCACTTATAGTAACAACATCCAAACAGAGCTAAACGCGTAAAACATTTTCTGGTTTCCTTTTCCCTTACGTAACTACTTACACTTTGTGGAAATTCGTTTTGCTTACAAAAATATTTTCTCTTGGCACAGTAGCCTCAAAGCTACAATTCTGTTGGCTGAAGTTGTTTCCTAAACTGCCAATAGTATTTGCTGGCCTTGAGCAACTTCAGACATGCTGTCACATGGTACCAGAGAGTAAAAGAAGGCATGTTGAGGTCATGATAAACATGCCCCTGTGTGTCTCAGAAAAGTGTTTTGTCTGGCAAAGTATCCCTCTGTAAGAGTTTAACAAAGTTGTACTATAGCTTTGTATTTTCTCTCTCACTCTCTCCATGCCATTACCCTCATGCCCATAAAATAAATGTCAATATTCAGTAATTAAGTCGTTGAGCATAGATGATATATTTAGCATAACTGCATGTAAATTGAGTACTCTATACAATGAAATGCAGCAGTACATCTCAAATATTCTCATATTTATATTTTTCATTTTGTTCAGCTTACTTTATTCACCTTTTAAAACTGCTAGTAAAAGGACCCCATTGAACTACTAGTTTCAGGTAAATTAAGTGATGTTGCGTGGTGGGTGAGGTTTTTTTTCGGTTGATTGAGTGGAAGAGTGAGGCATTTTGTGCAACACTCACTGGCGTGTTCGTTTGAAGAGCAGCTTTCAGTTGCACTTGGAATGTTGAGACGCTTTGCTGTTCTGTGAAACTCCCTGTCTCCTTGATCTGCTTGATAAGGGCACTCAGCCCCTTTAGCCACTTAGACAATAGGCACTTTCAGACTTTGCTTTGCCACTTATTGTTAGCAAATTTCACATTTAAGGCGTGATTCTTTTTTTTAACCCAAGGACATGTGTTTCTCATAAATGATGCAAAACACCCCTTCCTTGAGCAGCTGTTATGAGGTCAGAGCTAACATTTCAATATTAAAACACATTTTACATATTTAATTAGCGGTCACATTTGTAATGCAGTCAGGGTTGATATTTTAAGTATTCGATGTGTGTATACAGTGCATGATACAGAACAATTACTTGCTGTTGAAGTACACGTCACTGGATTGTGTACTGTATTTCAGTATATACTAATGTTACAGTGCTGCACTGTGATTGAACGCCCCTTACAATTACTCTCCTGCATAGAAAAATCATACTGTAAAGTACAATAGGAAAGTACAATTTAAGGTAATAACATTAATTTTACATGTTTTTTTTGATAAACGCTAAACACTTGGGCGGTGATCGAAAATTATTATTTAACAGCAATATTAGGTCTTTTTAAGAGTCGGCATACGCATCTTCCATGGTATAAACATGTATAATTTACAAAAAAATAACGTGTGAACACAGTAAGTGCTATATTCGCAAGATATGCAGACAAACTGTTGGTGAATGGGGACGCTTGCAATGCTTGTGCACAAGACTGGTGATGAGGGTAAGGTCGTAGGTGAGACGAAATGGCACAAAAACAGTGATAAATCTGGGAAATTGCTAAAGGGAAAATCTTGAAAGGTGCTGAAATCTTGCTTCCAGTTTCACCATCTGTATGTTGCTTGTCAGGTATTTCAGTTACGTTTCCCTTCCAAATATGTTGATCAAATACCAACCTTCAGTAAGGTTTTTTTTATGTCACCTGAATGAGAATTCCTCCCTATTTTTCTGATTAATTTATTGAAATACAATACAATGCAGTATTCAGTATCTTAAAGTGAATAATATTGCAAGCTGTATACAGTATTGTCTCTTAATTGGGACTGGTTAGAATCAGGATCAGAATCTTTATTTATCCTGGAGAAATCCGATGAGCTATGAAGCTCTTTTTCACAGATGTCCAGTAGGGGCGGGTCATAAAGTTACAACGAAAAACAATTCAATGGGCAAGTGGTGAGTCACGTATGTTGCAACAAGTCTGACATTAAAACAGTGCAGTGTTGCATTTTGAAACCCATTAAGCGCTTAATTTTGGTGTTGGAAAGATCTTCTTGGTTCTAAAGCTTGTTCCCTACGTTGGTGACTTTACCGAAAGAACCAAGAAGATGAATCCCTGCAGTCACGAAAGCTTTAAATTGTTGGAAAGATGTTAACTGTTGACCCTACATTTTTTCAAAGATCTGCAACAAACTCCACAAACCACAGTTCCTTACAGGACTTTTGTGTGGTTCACTATCCCCTCATTGTTTAAGATATGAAATCCTGTTAAGTTGTTTATGTACACCACTGCTTCATTCCACTGTTAGTCATGGTGGTTGTTTAATCATGCTTCACCACACTGGTCAGCGCAGAATATTTGTGAATGGGGAGGGTTAGTGGTTGAAGGGACAAGGTTGCATATTATTCACCTGGCCAGGACTCTAACTTGGGTGTCCAGCCAGGTTCGTTGAACAAGTGCACTCACCACTGCGCGATTATACCGTGACGCTAATAATATTTCGTATTGCGACAGTGCTGTAATAGTACGGAAGCCAATAAAGCATGGTCCGTACGTTGGTCATATTAAACGCAGTAGTTCAATATCGGTCACGTGGAATGAATTGGATACTCAAAATGTCCAGCGCTAATGAGCTCAAAAAGGCAATGCCTGGTGCCTAGAAAAGATTCCATTAAATATTTTACAGTAATTATTTTCATACTCGATTTTGTGATTACCTTGAGATTACCGAGGACTTGATTCAAGACGGGCAATGTGACAGTCACAATTTACTTTTATTACAGATTGTAAAGCATTGTAGGGACATTTTTTTTGTATAATTGTAGTGGTGATGTTAAATTGTCCTCTATCTCTAGTTTGTCCACAAATCTTCACCAACAATGAAGTCTACAGTAGAGCGCAAGACCGTAATACTGTGCAGTAATTCTGTAATTTGTATGGCTTTGTTGTGAATGTCAGTGTGGAAGGGTATACTAAACAAGCAAGACTGTGTTTTCACTGGCTCAGTTTTTATTAACTTAGACAGGGCTGGAACTATGGTGATCAAATTCTGTCTCTTTTACATAGGGTTGGTGACAATAACATGGAGAACTGGCCTCCTTATTAACTCTGGCTGTGTTTACACACACATCAGTTTTAATTACATCCGGTTTCTGAAACCAATCTGGAAACAGTTGTGGCACATTTACACAACGTTTTATTGCCGTGTTTTGAATCATTTTAAGTCCGCCTGTTCACTGAAGACAAATATAAAAGGGCTTCCAATGCATATTGACGAAAACATTTTCCTTACTGTATTCTATTTGTATAGATCATGAGATACGGGTGATATATGCAGCGCTTGGAAAACTAAATTAGCGTCATGTTTGTAAGATTTGTAATTGTACCTAAAGTGATTATGACCACCATCACTTCCAAGACATTCCTTCTCAGGATCTCTGTAATTTGATTTGGATTAAGAACAGTGCAATGCTTAATTGCAATGTATTATTTTGTTTAATAATATATTCACCTGCTCGTCTCCACACGAAACGGCGTTCTATTTCCTAACACTGTACAGTACGTCCACACTACAAACTCCTTTACTTTAATTTCATATTTTAAACAGGTTCTCATGGCCCACAGCCAAAACCTTGCTCTTGCTC